TGTGGGCGCGTAGGCTCAATTGCTGAGGGGACTTTATGGTGAGCTGTATTCCACGCTACGATTCGCAGCACACAGAGTCTCCATAATAATTATTTACTTTATCATGTCTATCTTGTATTCCAGACAGATGTTGTATTGTTATTGTACTTCTTAGTAGATGCTCCGACACTTATGACCCCGGATTTTGGGATGTTCTAGAATTTGTTTATGGTTTTGCTTACCATCGACACACTTTTACTTTATATTTTATTTAAATTGTATGCATCTACGATTTTTAATGCATTTATTTCCCTATCTAATAAGATTTATGATTTCAAAAATAATAAAATAAATAATTAAGTTGGTAGTTTCCCGCTGGCTTGCCTAACGGCGACGTTGGGCGCTATCACAACCTATAGTGGGTTTTAGGTCGTGACAAGTATAAAGAAAGGAAAAATTTCTTTCATTGTTTTGTATGTGGAGTACATAATCGAAGGCGCACAAGCCTTGTGCCATGGCTAGAATGGTCTACATGGGTACGGTTTATTTGACCATTTAACCCTTACAATGAATCCTAAATGCCAAGCCTTGGCTTTTAATATCAAGTGACTGCACCTTTTAAATATCTTAACCTAGGGGTATTGGCCCCCGGTATTTGAGGCCGAACTTGTGAGGGCTCGAATACTATTGGTTTGGTGCAAATGATCAGCAACTCCGGCTATAGGCTGGCCTTCGAAACAAAGGTAGCACGTTTTACTGTCGCCTCGTTAAAAACCTTGACAAAAAACCCACTTCAAGAAAAAACGGTTCAAGGGAAAAAGAGTACAACACGTGATTTCAAACCTAATAGTCACATTTTCCTTCAGCCGAGTACCTGCGTAAGTTAGTCCGTAATATAACAAAATTAAAAAAGGAATTGAGCTCGTACCTTAGCAGTAGTACATCTTTAAGTGTGTCACGTTCCAGTTATTTGGTAGTTGTACACCGTTTCCCGACTCGAGTTTATACGAGCCTTTCCCAATTATTCTGGCAACTCTATACGGTCCCTCCCAATTCGGGTCAAGTTTCCCGTCGTTTGGGTTCCTGGTGTGTAGAGCTACCTTCCTCAACACCAAGTCCTCGACTTGAAATGTCGAAGGTTGGCTCTTTGGTTGTAGTACCTCCCTACTTGCTGCTTCTAGGCGGCCAATTGGACTAGGGCGGCTTCCCGCCTATCATCCAATAATTTCAGGCTCATGGTCATGGACTCGCCGTTTGACATTTTGGTAGCATACTAGAACCTGAGGCTCGGTTCCCCTACCTTGACCGATATTAAAGCTTCCGTTCCATAGACTAGAGAGAACGGGGTCGCTCCGGTACTTGATTTCGAAGTCATACGGTATGCCCACAAGACTTTAGAAAAGATTTCCTTCCACTTTCCTTTTGAATCGGTCAATCTCTTTTTCATGTTTTGGAGTATAGTTTTGTTCGTTGATTCAGCTTGCCCATTCCCACTAGGATGGTAAGGCATTGATAATATCTTCTTGATTTTGTGGTCTTCGAAAAACTTACTTACCTTACTGCCGACGAATTGTTTTCCGTTATTGTAAACGATCTTAGCCGGTATTCTAAATCGACATATTATGTGATCCCAGATAAAGCCGACGACCTCTTTCTCCCGGACCTTCCCGAACGCCTGAGCCTCGACCCACTTAGAGAAATAATCGGTCATGAGTAGTATATACTGGGCTTTACCATGCGCCCATGGTAGTGGATTGACGATATCCATTCCCCATTTTATAAACGGCCATGGTGACAGGACCAGGTGAAGCATTTTTTCCGACTGATAAATCATCGGGGAGTGTCTTTGACACTCGTTGCATTTTCACACGAAATCTTTTGCATCTTTCTCCATTTCATTTTAGTAGTAGCTGGCACTAATTAACTTCCGAACCAGGGATTCTGCCCCCGAGTGGTTCTCGCAAGTGCCCTCATTGACCTCTCTCATTGCATATTCGGTCTCTCCCCGACCTAAGCAGCTAGTGGGCCGAAGAAGGATCTTCTGAACAATATTCCCTCGACCAAACATAACCAGAAAACTTTGGTGCACAGGGTTTTCGATTCCTTGGGGTCTGATGGCAATTTTCCTCTCTTCGAGTAGTTTATGTATTTATTTCTCCAACCTCAAGTCAAACTTGTCGAATTTACCTCGGTGTGACCTTCTTCTACCACCAACTTCATCAGCTATACCACTGACCCCGAGTCAAATTCATCGAAGTCGACAGAGGACCCCAAGTTAGCCAGTGCATCGACTTCACTATTTTGATCCCGAGACACATGCTGCAGAGTCCAATCCTTGAATTGGTGTAGGGTCACCTGCGATTTGTTCAAGTACCTCCGCATCCATTCCTCTTTTACTTCGAACATTCCGTTGACTTGATTCACGACAAGGAGGGAGTCATATTTGGCTTAAATCACTTCGGGCCATAGGCTTTTAGCCAGTTCTAGATCTGCAATTATAGCCTCATACTCGGCTTCATTGTTAGTCAATTTTACAGTTCTAATGGACTATCTAATTACGTTACCCGCAGGTGGTTTCAATACGATACCGAGACCGGACCCTTTCGCATTGGAGGCACCGTCCGTGAATAGGGTCCAGATCCCCTAGTTACTCCCCGAAGTGAGTAGCAATTCTCTTTCGACCTCTGGTATCAGGGCCGGTGTAAAGTCAGCCAAAATATGAGATTTTATGGCAGTTTGGGGTTTGTACTCGATATCGTACCCGCTAATCTTTACGTACCATTTGGCCAGCCGGCCCGAGAGCTCGGGATTATGTATGACATTCCTCAGCGGGTAAGAGGTCACGATACATATGGGGTGGCATTAAAAGTACGATTTTAATTTCCTAGAAGCGCTTAGTAAGGAGAGCGCTAATTTTTCTAGCTGAGGATACCTTGTTTCGGCATCGCCTAGGGTTCTACTAACATAATAAATAGGAAATATTGTACCTTCTTCTTCTCGTACTAGGACATCACTTACTGCCACCTCGAAAATCACCAAGTGGAGGTACAACTGTTCGTCTGCCTTTGGAGTGTGCAGTAAAGGGAGGGCTTGATAGGTATCACTTGAGTTCTTCCAAGGCTTGCTGTCTTTCCAGGGCCCAAGAAAAATTGTTCTTCTTTTTCAATAGTGAGAAGAACCGATGACTCCTATCCGACGATCTCGAGATGAACCAGCCCAACGTGGCTATCCGCCCGGTAATTCTTTGTACTGCCTTGACGTTGTCGACTATGGTAATATCCTCTATGGCCTTTATTTTGTCAGTGTTGATCTCTATCCCCCGATTAGACACCACGAATCCGAGAAACTTTTCCGAGTCGACCGTAAATGCACACTTCTCTGGGTTTAGCTTTATGTTGTATTTCCTCAATATGTCGAAGGTTTCCTGCAAATCTTTCAAATGGTCCTTTGCTCGTAGGGACTTGACCAATGTATCATCAATATAAACTTCCATTGATTTTCCCATTTATTCTTCGAACATCCGGTTGACTAGGCATTGGTATCTCGCACTGCCATTCTTTAATCTGAATGACATTATGTTATAGCAGTAGGTGCTGAACTTGGTTATGAAAGAAGTATTTTATTGATTGTCTAGGTCCATCTGAATTTAGTTGTACCCGAAGTAGGCATCGAGAAAATTGAGTATCTCATGTCCGACCATCGCGTCGATCATTCGATCGATGTTAGGCAAAGGGAAAGAATCCTTTGGATATGCCTTCTTTAAATCCTTATAATCTACATATATTCTCAGTTTATTTCCCTTTTTAGGTACTACCACTACATTAGATATTCAATCCAGGTATTTAACTTCCCGGATGAAACCTATTTTCTGAAGTTTGGATGCCTCGTCCTTGATGAACGCGTGTTTTATCTCGGACTGTGGCCTCATCTTCTGCTCAACCGGATGGAACTTCGGATCCAAGTTTGACTTATGAGTGGTTACCTCCGGTGGGATCCCTTTCATATCTAGATGGGACCAAGCAAAACAATCGGCATTAGCTTTAAGAAAATCAATAAGTTTTTTTCCTGAGTTCGGGGGTTAACCCCGTGCCCAGGTATATCTTTCGACCCGGTAGGCACTTGATCAATATAACTTGCTCCAACTCCTCGATCGTCGATTTGGTGGTGTTAGTGTCATTGAGTGCTATGAATGAATGTGGGACACTATAATCGTCCTCATCGTACGCTCCGTGCTCTTTTTATTTCTCCATCTCGGCTGAGGCCGACATCATTGATTGCTATTTAGTTTATTCTTTTTTGGTCGGCTCCGCGCCTTTTGATATTGAAACCGCGGGAACCGGGATCACTTCATCGACATCGAACATTTCCCTTGTGACTGGCTATTCTCTATAGATCATTTTGACTCCTCCAGAAGTGGGAAATTTCAGCGCCTGCTGTAAAGTCGAAGGCACTACCCTCATGTTGTGAACCCATGACCTTCCGAACAAAGTGTTGTACCTCATAGCCCCTTCGATCACGTAGAGCTTTGTTTCTTGGGTTGTCCCAACAATGTTTACCGGTAAAGTTATATCACCTTTTGTGGTCTCGCATGCCATATTGAATCCATTCAGTACCCGGACCGCTGGTACAATTTGTTCCTGTAACCCCTGTTTCTCTACGACCCTCGATCTGATGATGTTCGCCGAGCTACCTGGATCAATTAACACACGCTTAACTTGATATTTATTGATAAATACAGATATTACTAGTGCATCATTGTGAGGATGTACGATGACCTTGGTGTCTTCATCGCTAAACGAGCTAGCTCCTTCTGGGACATATTCTCGGGTGAGTTTTTCCCTCGTAATAGACACTTTAGTGTGTTTTATCATCGACACTTCGGGGACATCGACTCCCCCAATGATCATGTTGAGTATATGTTGAGGCTCCTCTTGTTCGACCTGTTTGTTGGCGTCCCTATTTATGAAGTGATTTTTGGCTCACTCACTTAGGATTTCTCGGAGGTGCCCATTGTTGAAGAATCAAGCAACTTCTTCTCTTAACTGCCTGCAATATTCGGTCCTATGACCATGAGTGCCGTGATACTTACACATCAAATTAGGATCTCTCTGGGCAGGGTTAGACTGCAATGGTCGGGGCCACTTGGTCTCTTTGATGCGCCCTATAGCCGACACAATGCTTGCAACGTCCACGTTGAAATTGTATTCTGATAATCTTGGCGCTTCTCTACTTACGAGTGACCTGCCAAACCCGCCTTTTCTCATCAGGCCCCGGCCGCTCGGTCCTCGATCATTTCTCTTTTCGTTCCTTATCGGGAGATACCCGGAGCCATTTCCCATATGATCCACCCTGTGTGGTTAATATCGATCTCAGACCGGCCTTGGCTCTTGATAAATGGCTCTCTTAGATTTGTCATCGGTTATGATAGGGTAAACAGATCCCAAAGGGGCCCCGAGTTGATCGTCTTCGACCCTGATCTTCGATTGGTATCTGTTGTGGACATTGGCCCAAGTGACCACCGGATACTCCACCAATTCTTTTTTTAGCTGCTGAGAGGGCACTGAACTTCGGGCGTTGATCCTTTGAGTGAACACATGAACGACCTAATCATCCGTAACTGGTGGCAGATCCATCCGTTCCATCTGGAATCTCGGCACAAACTCTCTGAGAATCTCGTTATCCCTCTGTTTGACCTTGAAAAGGTCTGACTTCCTGGTTTCTACCTTGATGGCCCCGGCATGGGCCTTTACGAAAGCATTTGCAAGCATAGCAAATGAGTCGATAGAATTCGAAAGCAAGTTGTTATACCATATCATCGCTCCCTTGGACAAGGTTTTCCCAAACTTTTTCAGCAACACCGACTCGATTTCGTCGTCTTCTAAGTCGTTCCTTTGATTACGCATGTATAGGAGGTTACATGCTCATTCGGATCCGTGGTCCCATTATACTTAGGAATGTCGAACATTCAAAACCTTTTCGGGATGAGCTTCGGTGCTGCGCTCGGGGGGAAAGGCTTCTGTATAAACTTTTTGGAGTCTGATCCCTTCAATATTGGAGGCGCTCCCGGGATCTGAATGACCCTGGAGTTGTACATTTCCACCTTCTTATCGTTGGCCTCAATCTTTTTCTCGCCTGACTCCATCGGTTTTGTCAATGCTTCGAGCATCTTCTTCACCTCAGAAGTTTCCCCGTGTCTGTGCTCACCTGGTTCTACGACAACTTGTTCATCCCTTTGAGGCTTTGGTTCTACAACTGTGCTATCGCCGCTTGTTGAGCCTGCAATATTTCGAAGATCAACTGCAGGTCCCATCACCTTCACCCTCGGGCGCTTCTCGAGCCGCTGGCTGGGGTCCCCCACGACCACTATTTTTGGGATTAGTTGAAAAATTGATGTTGATGGCCACTTATGAGTTAGCATCGACCGGGCCGGTGGCTGGGACATCATTGGGCTCAACAGGAGGCACATCATTACTAGGCATCACGTTATTGTTCTCGCCGTGATGGCCTGACTCAGCGTCAACGTTCAATTGAGCAGACTGGGAGTTTGACATTCTTAGGCTAACCTGGAATCAAAATTTCAAAGAACAAGCATAAAATAGGGTGTGCTATGAAGATTCCAAATTACTACTATTATCCTTAGCCCCACGGTGGGCACCAAACTATTTACCCAATAATGAGTAACAATTAAATTTGTACATGGTTTAAGGGATATGCGGTTTAATCCAATACGAATAATCAAGAACAACAGATAAATGAGTTAAAGACAAAATATATGATCAAACCAATCGCAATATGGTGATATAGCATGATCTTAGATTGAATAGTGAAATTCATCCTCGATTGGACCTTCGATACAAGCTCGATCACAATTAAGAAAAAAAATAAATAAATAATGCTTTGAACAATAGCTAGAACAAAAGTAAACTTTTTATTGCTTTGATTTGCGTGTCACAATGTGTCAGAATAAATAAAACCTTTCTCTTTATATAGTAGGGGAATTTCAATCCTAGTATAAGTCTAAATAAGGTAAAAATCTTCTTTTTCTAGTAAATGTCGATCCGCAACTGATATGGAACGGGATTTGCGCTGTAATATCCGATTGAGGCCGGACATTATGGCCCCTACTCATCATGCATAACCGTTCTGCGTGTTTTCTGAGGTCCAGAAGTTATACTTGGTCTAGGTCTGTTATTCTACCATGTCCGATCTTAGATATATCATTCATTCCTCCCGGGTTTCGATACGAGGGGCTCCTGGGCCTCGATTATAATTATGTCGAGCCGCACTTCCCCTTTGTTTCCTCATCGGGGAATCGGGGAAAACTTTGCCCCTGATTCTACCCGTACACAAACTTAAGTTCCAAATACTACTTTTTTTAAAAATTATAATTTTTATGTCCAAACTACTACATAGTAATATGAATTTCATCTTACTACTATTGGAACTCAATTAAAAGTTACCTTTCACTAACTAAAAGTTATTCGTTAATAATATCTTATTAACATGGTTCTTGAATCTAATTGATTGAATATTATTTTACTTATTCACGAATAATATTGTTAACATATATTGTCTTTTATCATTTGGATGACTTTTAATTATAATACTAAAATTATAATATAATTGTTATTTAATTAAATTATTAGTATAAAAGGTAATTTTTTATTTTTATTTTTTCCTCTAGAAGGTACGTTTTTATGATTTTAAATCTTAAGTATTAGGACTTTCTTCCAGAAAGCAAAAGGCTTTATATTTACAGTTTGCCTAAATATTTCATGCTACAAAATTCCATGGAATTTGGTTCCTTTTCGCATATCTTTTAAAATTATTTTAAATAGTTTAAATAAGGAAGAGCGTAGTAATCAAAATTTATATAGTTCTCAACATGTATTTCGTGATTAAAAAAAAAAGGAGTGCTAATTGTGTACTAGAGGAGTTTATATAAGAAAAAATTTAATAACTAAAATTTTAGTTGATTTTAAAGTCCTAAATATTAGGCAAAAAATTTAAATTAAATGACCATTTTGTGCTTGTGAAACTTATTTTTAAAAGATAAAATATGCGAACAATTTTGAGTTTTGCCAAAACGATCCCGCTTGAACTAACTTGGGTCTGCCCCAACAACTAGTCACAGATACTCTTGAATGAACTAAAGGAGTTTCTAGAATACTCTAAACTTGTCATTCTAAAACTCTAATCTAGAGGTCTTTTAGCTCTTCAAAATTCCTTAAACATTTTAAATTTTCCATTAAAATATGTTTGATATTTATGTTGGTGATGACTTTTGAACAAACAAGACAAACTTTATTACTTGCTCATTTTGTATCTTGCCTTCTGAAAAGAGGTAAACGATGCATGTTAAAGGTTTTTCCTTAAAGCTAATTCCAAATCGTTGATAGTAATCTAGCGTATACAGCAATTTATCTATCGTGCACCATGTGGGATTATTCTCTACGCATAATAAGATTGAGTCACAATCAAGCATTCATGTCAGCCCCTTTAATTGAAATAGAATGTCTCGTTAAAATTTATTCGCATCCAATGTTTATATTAAATCATACTAAATTATTATGGTTACCTCGCAAATTAAGAAGAAATTATGTACTATTTAATTATGATTTTGCGATAAAAGTATATGTGAAGATATATATATGTATATCAAGGGCACCACCAGATTAGTGTTGAATTAGTATAAGCACCGAGTGCAGGCAAATTTTTACCGAAGGTCTATGGAGTTCAAAAAAAATCGGTCGAAAATCAAGCATTTTCTAGTAGTGAGTATATACAATACAACAATTGTCTTGCAAGTGTAAATTCGGTGAGACTCCTACACGAAATGAAGGTGGCTAAAAGATAAAGCAAGTCAATTGAAAGAATACATTCTTTATAATACGTTTTATTGGATATTCTAGAGAATAAAGATGCTTAACTATATAAAAAAATAGATTTAAATACACTTTATTATTGCATAGAAGAGGCAATTGAAACAATTACCTCAAAGAATAATTAGAAATTAGGTGAATAGAACTACAGAAGCATTAATTACTGCTAGTCCCCCAGTGACAAATTAATTAAATTGCAGAACTTTCTTGGTCCAGACCATCCTTACTGAAATAGAGGAAACTCATATGATTATCAAAAACTGATGATGTTATTGGCAAAGGAGTGAATCCTTGGTAATCTCCTTCTGCCTTTGCTAAGCATAGATCTTTGATGTAATTGAATAGACCATCTTTCTGAATAGAAGGCTGAGCGGCATATTCTCCAAATGGCATCCACTGCAAGGATTATTATAGGACTTGAGAATACTGTAATATATCTATATATATAGAAATAAATGTTCAAGTTATATCTACTAATAATGTAAAATAACAATGTAGTTTGATTTGTAATAACAGGTTATTTACTGTTTTTACGATGTTACCAAATAATGACTATCATTAAAATTTTACTTGTTATGACCTAATTTTGTAAATATTTTTACACTTTCAGTATATTGAGCTCAAACTCAGAAATAAAATAGACATACCTGGGCTGCCTCAATTTCTAACTCTTGCTTTTGGATGTCAAAAGATAAAGGGCGCATCATGCAAATGAAGAACAGCTCTGACTTGCCAAAAAATGACTTGTGTATTTGCCTGCCCATGAGAAAATTACATGATCACTGAACAAATCCATATATTATATACATTGGCAACATTTCTAGGGTTTTGAAATGTGAAGAATTCGTAGCATCAGTTGTTCTAGAAAATAAATAGAAATTGATCACTGACTTTTAAGTTATACTATATTTTTTAAAAATTATTGGCATATTAATATGAATAGATAAGACAAATTACTCTTTATATTATAATATTTTGCTTAAAGGGTGTGTAAAAAGTGTTGTAAATATAGTTCGCTATCTCACTAATAGCAAAAAGCGAGGTGAAGCGAGGGTCAGTCACTTATTCCAGTTATTGTGTGGCGTTATTCAAAAAGCACCGACAAGGCAAGGAAGCGACAAAAGCATCACTTTTTAAAAGAAAAAAAAAGGTAAAAACATATCGTATCTATTACTCCCTCCATCCCAAAAAGATATATTTTTCGAATTTTGAGAGTCAAACTTTTTAACTTTGATCATGAATTTGAATATATAATCTTTAAGTTTTTTTAAAAATAAAATTTATATATTTGGAAACTAAATAAAAATACTATAAATCACCATAATTAATAATTCAAAATATTCAAAAAATATATAAAAAATCATGGTAAAAAATTAACTCGTTTGTCTTTCGAAATCCGAAAAGTATATCTATTTGGGATGATTGGAGTAGTAAATGATAACACTACGAGTACGAAAAGCAAGAAGCGTGATCAATTGAATGTTGTTATTTTGACCTTTTGATAATAAAACTTCAATAGTTGATTATCATGACTCTATAATTAATACTTGTTTTCTAAAATATGAAAAGTGAGGTCTTAGCCACGATACATTTTCTCCTCCTCGAGAGAGTAGTCTCTCTGGTGCATAACTAACTAGTATATAATTATTCCTCAAACATAAAAGAAAATGGCACAAGTTTATTCCTACCTAAATGCAAGCACTTCCAGAAATTGTGTGTCAATCTGCAGGTAAATGCATGTCAGAAAAAAATTAATATATAGTGCAGGTAACAGCAGAAAATATATGGAGTATGTGATATATTAGTGTATGTGAATTTACGTAGAATTGATCAGTATTGTGTAAACTTACTCCAGTTTCTTCTTTTACCTCCCTTATTGCACCTTCAAATATATTCTCACCCTGGAGAGGAAAAGGTGGGTCAACATAGAATATAGATACGGTGTAAATTAAAGTAAAGGTATATGTAACATGTTAATGTTCCTTTAGCAGACATTGGTTAATTAATGAGCATATATACCTCGTCAACAGCACCAGTAGGGATCTTCCATACACCACTTCCCTTTAGTCTACCGATATTTTCTTGGACAACAAGCAACTGAAAGCATCAATATTTTGCAAATTTTAGATAATTGGACCATCTAAATAGTTACTACTAAGATGCAATCGTAAGAACTTAAATGTTGAACCCATATGATTCGATCATGTTATATACTGGAGTAGTACTTTAAAGCAACTGAAGTTGAATCATTCAATTAAATTACCTCTCTTTTGTGATTCAAGACAATAGCACCAATGCTGACTTTATGTGAGGCATTTGCAGGAATGGTACTCTCAGTATCAGCAATCCAATGCACAAGCATGAGGTAATGAGGTTCTGCATGATGGTACCAAAACCCTTCCTGTTCTCAATGTCACACAGTGTCATGCTATAGCTAATATGCTACAATTGTCTCAACCCAAATTATTATATGTGACGCAGTAATTTAAATGATATGTGAGGCAATTAGTAATCACTACTAGTTTCTAAAGTTTCTGAAACTCAAGCTTTCGCATAAATCCTTCTGTTTCATTTTATACGGTGGTGTTCGATTATTTTGATTTGAAATTTAAGAAAGAAACAAAGATTTTTTTGACAAATTTCAATAGTATATTTAAAAAATTCGATCTTAAATATACCATAATATATATTGCAATGACTATTAGCGCTTTCATTAAGGGAAAAGAAATGTTTGATATAAGAGAGTTTCCAAAAAAATATCATTCTTTGTTGAACAAACTAAAGAAAAAGTATATAAAGTGAAATAATGCGAGTAGTATATTTTTAAGCACAATAGTTTATAGTCAATGGGCGTGATTTCTCTTCAATTTAAATATTAAAATAAAGCTAAGTAATATATCAACATTCCTACACTCCATGGCTCTTGGTCTTTTATGGCCAATCTTAATTCATCTGANTATATATATAAACTGTACCAAGTGAAAATATTCCACAAAGGCACTAACCCCGGCCTTACGCGAACACCCACTTCGTATATAAAAGGTAAAACAATGTTATAAAAAAATCAGAAATTATAACCTTTACTGCAATTTCAATGAGATTTGCAAGTTCAATAGGAAATTTAATCCACAGACCCTTCTTTCCCTGCAAAATAAACAGAATATTAACGTATGTAAAACAAGAATAGGGAAGCTGGTAAGGTAATTTAGGGGGGAAGCTGTGAGCAACAGGAAGGCAATCAATAATACAACAAACTAATTACTTAAGATCAGTTAAGATAATCAACATATATATACCTGTAGCTTCCACTGTTTTATAGAAGCCTTAAGCATGAAACGGAAGACATTGGTGTCCATAGGATCCTTTAATTCTACAATAACTCCTCCATGCTCATCATTAACCGCAGGAAGCAGCAGCAGCTCATGAATCTTCTTATTTTGACCCAAAAATTTCTCCATAATTAAGATATACTAGTAATTATACTAATTAATTAAGCGTCTGTTATATTAAAAACAATCTCCCAAGCAATTGTTATATATATATAGTGAAGTAAACTTTGATAAAAGTACTGGTGTATGCCTCAATGCCTGGATGTAGTTTACATTATATATGCTCCGCGGAGAAACTAGTCCTAAGTCTGCTGCCGTATGCGTATAGATGGGCCAATTAGGACCACCACCTGTTAGTTTGATTAGGTCATCGCCTGGGTTTTACGTGGTGAAAGGTCAAAAGGCCTTCATTTTAATTTCTAAAATAGAATTAACCAAACAAATAACACACATAAAAAAGTTTGCAAACATATTGGAATACCAATTGTGGGGTGATTCTTTTCTATTCACTGACTAATATTAGTCCAACAACGTTCATTTCATCATCTACATTAAACAACTACTAATTTTATCTAGTTCATCAGCACCAGATTTGGAGCAAAAATGAGAAAGAAAATCACTCTAAAGGACTCGACAGTATAAAAATCAAAAGGATGAATATGCAGCAACAAAATAGAGATAAAACCCAGGAGAAGATGGAGTGAGAAGTTTAAAGTTCTCACTTGAAATAGTTTAAAGTTCGAAGAGATACAACAAATTCTCACTTGAAATAGTTTTAAGTTCGAACAGATATACAACAAATTCTCACTTGAAATAGTTTAAAGTTTGAGTTAATCATATCCGATTCGAGAGGAGGAAGGATAAGGTCAGTCCCTAGTTCCATATTTGTACAAAAATTTCTTAAACTCGGACCAAAATTAAACACTGGACATCCGGTTAAATTTGACCTGCGTAGTCATTTTATTAAGTAGCTATTTCCCAATTCGAGTCATTGCAAAAAGTGTTATACAAGGCTCTATAGTAAGACGAACATAAATCCCATGAATTTTTAGTTTTAAATATTTAAAATTATATTAAAGCATGGAAGTTATTGAACATATTTTAAAAACTGAGTTAATTTCAAAAGAAAAAATGACAAAATTGATTTAGTCTTGACATCATATGTACATAAAAATATTCTGAGCAATGAGCATCAAATTGGAAGTAGATTAAGGCTCGTTTTGATTTAGGTGTGGTACTGTGGTTTTCTAGTCAAGGGTCATTAGTCGTTAGAGGGTTAAGAAATCAGTCAAAAAATATTATGATTACCAAGTCCAAATAACAGATCCGCTGACCATTAGAATATCCCAACTGGTAAAATTTGTCAAAGTAACTAATTCAAAGAAGAAGATGATTGACTCTAAACTCAAAATTGCTCTAATTTGACTGTGGGAAGACGTTCTTCTCAAGTTTAAACTGCAATATTCTCTAATGGAGTACCTAATAGTAATTATATGATTTTTTTTAACACAGTGTTAGTTATGCGACAGTATTCACGCAGTTACAGTAAATCCATACACTTCACACTTAATTAAAGGTCTTAATGAAGAGGGAGACAGAGACAATAGTGTCCCACTTATTTTAAAGTATGGTTCCCAATTATGAGCACCTTTACATAACTAATATTACTCCCTCTGTTTTTAATTTATATAACCTATAATTTGACTGAGTATAAAATATAAGAAAAACGTAAATATTTTTGGAACTTATAATTTTAAATGTCATATATTTGTGTGACTAAAAGATTTTTAAAAACATAAGGTATTGAATATAACATAAATATTTATAGGGACATAAAAGCATTTTGTTAAAGTAAAAGGAAAATACAAGTTAAATTATTGCAATCCTAAAAGCGTGTCATTCTTTTTTGGAAACTAATAAGAAAATAATATTATTCTTTTTATAAAAGCAGGAGTAGTAAATTTTTTTTTAATAATAATTATATGCACACATGAAAACAACTTCCTAGTATTATTAACCGGTGTCTTTCTCACCGTAAAAGGGTACGACGAATCATTCCAAAATCCAAATATATAAACCCAAGTTATCTACGCGTCAAGATTCTAGTTTCCACCTTATGTCTTCTTCAATGGTAGAGACATATTCTGTTTCCCATTACGCTTTTCGTCACGATCCAAAATTCCAATCAATTGTAGTTGTGATAGCGCCTAATACCGCTTGCTAAACAAGCCAACACACAACAGTAAAATCGAAAGAACTGCAATAAATGACTAACAGTAGGATAATAACATAACATAAAACTAACTCAGAGATATACATAATAAGTTTAAAACCAACATTATCGCTCAACCATTCCAAGACGTGGAGTCACAAGTACATGAGTTTCTAGAATTTACTACATACACTATTTTGAAAGAAATACAATATTGTATGAAAAGTAGAAACAATACAACAGAAATAGGAAGGTGACTCTAAGGCTTGCGAAAGGAATGCAGCTCTACCTCGAATCACCCATTTGGTATCCGCTAAGAACCTAACGGGACTCCAGTGGTACCAATATCCGGATCTGCACAAGAAGTATAGATGTATAGTATGAGTACAACCGATCAAATGTACTCAGTAAGTGTCGAGACTAACCCCGACGAGGTAGTGGCGAGGTTAAGACAAGATACCTACAAAAAACCTGTGCAGTTATATATCAAGAACGAAATAACAGGTAAAGTATTAAGTATATTAATGGAATAACTGGACAAGTGAGGCTTGCTCAGTTGGTAAAGCACCTCCACCCACGACCGTTAGGTCCTGGGTTCGAGTCACGTTGGAGGTGAAGTGTGAAAATACTATAGATCCTCCTAATTTGGGAGGGATTAAAAAAAAATAGAATAACTGACATGTGAAAAAGGATGACAAGTATACAACTAAAGGACAAAAAAGGGAAAAGTAAAGTAAAGCATCGTTGAGTAAGCCTCAACTTGTAGTTTATCAACAACTTGAACGACCTTTCAAAAGTAAATAACGAAGCCACAAAGCCTAGTCCACATTTCAAATATTAAAGTAAAGATTAATGAAATCAACAAAGATGCACGGCATCACCGTTCGTGCTTTTACTCTCATCCTCACATCATAATATAGAAACAAGCATGGGAACATCCTTTGTGCATATCCTCACGTTCACTCAAGCACGGAAACACCCTCCGTGCTATAATATCAATATATATAAATAAAGTACGGAAATGCCCTTCGTGCACATACACTCTTCCTTACAAATACGCCAACACCCTTCGTGCATTTCACTCTTTCTCACAAGCACGGCAACACCCTTTGTGCATTTTACTCTTCCATACCAAACAATCATAAACAACACATTACCAAGCAAGGTTGGAAGTATATTCAACATCAATGATAGTAAACAAAACTCATCATATGAGGATCTTCCAACAATTTGGCACCAATAACCAATCAATAAGTCAACGATCTCAACACCCAGTATTTCAATAATCAACAACAACAACAACAACCCAATTAAATTCCACTAGTGGAGTCTGGGAATATTTCAATAATCACAACATAGGAAATAACATGGATATGATAAATTAAAGAATTATACAACATATCTAAAGTATGGAAGACATAATATACAAAATAATATGGCACAAGTAAGGTAAATTCTACCCGTATGCTTATCCCATGGACAATACATATACACTCATCACCTTGCATATATAACGCCCCCAACACATAGATCACATAGCAAACAGACTCAATTCTACCTTATTTCCCTCAAATCAAGGTTAGCCAAGATACTTACCTCTTTTCGGTACAAAATTAACAATGCAATACGGCTTTTCCTTTAGAACAAACGTCCAAACCAGACGAATCTACTCAAATATTATTCAAATAATTCAAAACAAGCTTTAGAAATGACCCTCGAATGAAAAAGGTTCAACATTTAACATAATTGAAAAGGTCAACAAAGAGTCAACCCGGGCCCACGTGGTTGAAATATAAAATTAAGACCAAATCTTGATTACCCATCTGCCCCCGAGCCCAAATATGTGATTTAATTCAAAATTCGACCTTAATTTGAGGTCTAAATCTAAATTTTACAAAATTCATAAATTCTACCCAAAACTCCCAATTTCTACTTTGAAATTCTTAGGTTTGATGATGAATTCATGAAAAAGTACTTGAAATTGAACAAAAACAAGCTGAGATGACTAACCAATGAATTTGGGAAAAATTTGCTCTCCAAAAATCGCCTCTATGGAGTCTAAGTATAAAAAATAGTGTAAAATGAGCTAAGTCCCAAAATTCACATATTTTACCCAGCTGCAGATATTGTAATTGAGAATTTGTAACAACTTGATCGGTCGTTTTGAGCTCTAGCATGTCATTATGCTGGTTGATACCTTAAGTAGATTCACTATATGTAATAAGACTTGCATGTGCAGTTTGTTTCGATTTTTGAGATGTCCGGAGTTGATTTGGAAGAATAATTCTCAATTCGCAAGCTTTAAGTTGGAAAAGTTGACTAGGGTTTGACTTTTGAGTAAAATCTCGAAATCAGAATTTGAAAGTTTCTATAGGTTTGTAAGGTGATCTCGGACTTGGGCGTATATTTAGATTGAGTGTCGGATGGTCCGGGAGCGATTCAGCGCTTATTATTAGAAGTTTGCATTATGAAGGTTTTGAATTTTCTAAGTTTGACTAACAGTGAACTTTGGTGTTATCGGACTCCGGGCGCTGTTCCGGGACCTTGGATAGGTTTATTTTATTGATTAGAACTTGTGCGTGAAGTTTGATCGTGATCCGGAATGTCTAAGTGTGATTTGGACGCGTTCGGGGAAGTTAGAAGGTTTGAAAGTTAAGAGAAGAATTTTGATCGTCGATTCATGATTTTTATATTATTTGTGGCATTTCGAGCTTTTGGACAAGTTTGGATAAGGTCTTAGGACTAGCTTGTATGCTTAGACGGGGTCCCGGGGGCCTCGGTGTGTTTCGGGGTAATTTTGGACCATGTTGGAGTGCCTTTTTGCTGCTGGATTGCTGGTCCTGGTTTTGTTATTCACGAACGCAGTAGAAAGCACGCGTTCGCGATGAAGGATTGAGAAGGAGGTGGTTTGTGCTTC